CGGGTCTGAAACTAAGTCTGATGAGGAATTCGAGCAACGAGATGCCGAAAACTTTTTGACATATATGGAGGAAGACTATAGCGAAGGTTCGGAAGGGTCAGATGAGTATGCAGATGATGAAATGGATTTGGATGATGAAGGAATAGAGAGTGATGAGGGAAATATGGAACATGCGGAGTTTGCAAACTTTAGGAGTTGCTTTCAGTAGCATGGCAACTTCCCAATCACACAAGGAGAGAGAGGAGGAGGAATTTTGGAATAAAGTTGGGAGAGGTGGAATCAATGCAAAAGAATGATTGAGAGAGGAGAGACAATACCGCAAAATTATGAACCACTCTATGAACGAATCAAGGAAGCGTCAAAATACGAAGAGAGATGGGACTATAGAAACCACAAAAAACTGGAAGGGCCGAGAAAATACTTCAGGTACAAGGAGACAAATGCTCCTCGAGGCCAGCTGTACTTTCCAGTGCCTGTTAGTCTCAGGTGGTTTCATGTACGAGAAAGACGGGAGGATCCCAATACAGAAGATTCTGCATCCGAAATGTCCGGATAAGGAATTAAATAGATTGTAACATCAGGTGACTTTTACGAAATTTGTTTCACTCGTTGCATAGTTCACCAGAGCCGCGCGCTGGTGGCTGAGAACAAAGACAAGCGAACCCCAAAACATAACAACATCATGGGAGCAGACATTTTAAGTAATGTCTCATATCAAATAACTTCTAAAAAGGCTAATTGTCTCTACAGGTTTTCCTTCTGACTCTCTTTACATTCTATTTTGTCGGTATCCTTGCAATCTTGATTGGCGCACGACGAGATTGGGGAAAATGGGTGTGGAACCATACCCTTGGTTACCCAATCAACATCATAATCGGGTTATGGCAAGAAGGACAAAGAACACAAACGGAGGAGAGACGTCGACGTAATCAAGTCTCACCATCGATTGAGTCCTTCGAAGCAGTTGTCCCTCGATCCCCACCGACTGTGTATCAGGATAGGCAATGGCACCCAACGTTGTATATTCATGGTCTCACTACAAGCGAGATTAGCCATGAGTACAAATCACCGATGGATGAAATCGAAGAGAGCAAAGGACATCAAGTAAGACAAAAGGGTCTATATCACAATTTCTTAATCATAACCATTAACAAACACAGGTCTCCGGACATTGTCTGTCAGACATGGTCTGAAAAGCATCTGTGAACCCGCGTTTTTCTTTTGTTTTTTTTTATGTTTGTAGTACTAACGGCTAAAGCCGAGAAAAACATTACTTTATTTCTCTTCATTTACTCCCATCACAGTGTCGACAGATCTGTTTTTCTGCTGTACATCTATCATCTATCCGAATCATGACCACTACATCTGTCACCGTTAAACTTGCCACAGTCCTAGGGATTGTCCTAGCTGTTGTCGTCAGCAGTGCGGTTTTTGCCTACATTTGGATTCGTAACCGGCTATCACAGCAACGGACCAGATGGCCCCAGCGACTTTTGGACAGTGGAGATGATTCCGATGACAACATGTACATTCCTTGGGGACACAGCGAGCGACGACTGTCATGTCGATCGAAACTGTATGGATCCATTCCAATCAGGCTCGATATCTCGCAAGACCAAGTTCGTGAACCTCCTCGAACAGTGAAGAGACCTTCTAGTGATGAGTCTTTGGGAGAGAGGTACATGTTTGAGTAAAAATGGAGTATGTCGAACTCTACTTTTTCATTTTATTTTATTTTACACAATAATCCAACAGGGGTTGCACTAATGATGATCTGGACTCTGATCGTCTACGAGATCAAACTGACCTTCTTCCCTTCACTGTCTTGCATGAAAAGACATGGCTTGGGGAAGTAACGTTTGAGGAGGGGTGGGTTTGGCTCCGTCATGGGCGTTATCCATCCGGATCAGCATGGCAACACCCTTCCATCATTCTTTTCTTCATTTTCTCTTCCGAAATTTCTTTACAAAAGGTCGATCATGACCTAATGTATAAACACAATTCCGCTCTTTGTTTGATTTTTTTTTCCTTTTTTGATCATCTGTTTGATCCACTCTCGCTCTCTTTCTTTAAATTTATATACTCCTCAATTCAAAAACTTCTTTGTTTACATCGAGGCTACAGTACCGATATACCGGGTTATACATTACCTAAAGAAAGTAAAAGAAAAGGGGGCAAAGCGAAAAACATACCTTAGTGGTGCAATTCGCTCATTCAAGGCACATGTGTCTAAGGTGCGATGTCCATCCTAAATCCGGTTATACCTGGAAAAGGCTCAAGATCTACCCGAAAAACCCACAATGCATGAATGGCAAAAGCCAATGCACATCATGGACTTGTCGGGCAGATCGCTTCTGTTAGAGATGGGCGGAAACGGACGACTCCGGAGTGGAATCAGAGACTTAGCGTGGAGGGACCTTGGCCTCAGCGACTCAAGCGGAGCGCTGTGCCATTGCTGTTTGTCCATTTGGTCCTTAATTTCACAGTAGGTGAGCAGGAAGTCTCTTGGGGGCATTTCAGGTCGATTTCGGACTGAAACCAGACGAGTATGTACAAGCGCCGATATATATAAGGAAGGGGCAAAAGCACAAGGAGAACAAAGGGTGACCGAATCGGAACGAAGACGTCCGAACGGGAACAAAGGGTTAGAGGGAGCGGAGCGGTACCGAAGGTCATAGGGCAAGACCTGTGATACAACCGAAAGGAGGTAGAGTGGGCGAGGCCCAGAGGGGCAGGAGGATGAGGGGAAGTGGGGGTGATGACTAACTGGCTAGAATAGAAAGAAGCAGTAGTCCAAATAGGGATGAGGGGGAATTGTGAGAAATACATTACAAACGGCGAGAGTGCCAGAGGCGGTCCGCGAAGCTCGGGGGTTGCGGAGCTTACGGAGGTTACGGAGGCGGGGTTGGAAGTCCGAGGAATATTGGCAATGGTGTTCACGTAGTATGAGGTCACCAATGCAATGGACTAAGACCGAGGTGGAGTCAAAGTCCGAGGTATGGACTATGACGGAGGCTCGGAGTAAGGTACGAACGGTGTCCGAGTGTGAAGTACGGAGCAGCAGTGGACGGTCGTAACTTGGCGGAAGGGTGGTGGAGGAGTGACGGAAGAAGGAGAGAGGGGACAGGTAAGGAAGAGTAGTCAGGTCCGAAGGTGGATATCGGAACGGACGGAGAAGCGTAGGGGATGACGGGAGGGTGGAGGTGTTGTGAGGGGGAGCGGAGTTGTAGGAAGGGTGGCGAGTAGGGCGATGTTCGGTCCGAGATGAGTATCGGAACGGACGGAGAAGGGGTCGGAAAGGTAAGAGGAGGGGTGTGTTGCCAAGACCGAAGGTGAGTATCGGAAAGGCAGCGGTAGGTTATGACTCCGGAGGTGAAGAGGGTGGTGTCCGGAAGTCGGGTCGGGGTCGGGTATGCACGGATATGACAGCTTCACGAATTCCGGTCTCCAAACAACGAGAATGCCATGAGGCATTCATGATCTATACCTAATTATGACTGATCGAAATCAAGACATTAATCTAACTTGGAAATCTGTTGATGAATTGTCAAGGCAGTACAAGCGCCCATTGAATTCATCAAGCAGATCGCTGAGGTGGTTAAGTACCATCAGTCGATCGCAGTGGGAAAAATTACATCGCAATCTTGTTGCAATGGAAAGAAAACGGTGATCTGGCAGGGCCAGATACACCGTGATGAGTGGAGGATGACACATGTACAAAGTAACAAGGGGAATAGTTGTAAGATCCAAGTGGCAGAGGGAACAAAGCAAAGGACCTTGATGTCAGGGCACGGCCTAACCGGCTACCCTGACTCCCTATGCTGGAGGGGAGTTGCCATAAGACGATCCGGAGTGATCTGAAGAACGCAGGTAATCTCGCTTAGCTTTCGCTTAGCTCCCGCTTCCTATCTTCCATCCACATGTCACCCCTTTCCCACACCTCGCTTACGAATATCCGAATGAATAGCTATCTTTTCATGTCGTCATTCTATCAGTTAACTCTTATCTCATTGTAACCGCACTCTAGTGGGTAGCGGTACCCATGTATATAACCCTTATCTCCGCTGAGGATGGCACCTCAGCGTTAACAACGACTAGGATTCTCGGGAACACCTCCATTGTCGTGAACTGACACGCAGTCCCTGACACTGAGTAAATAAGAGTTGCATCGGAGGAAACAGGATCGGAAGGAAGTAGAAGTTGCCAGGTAGTTGAGTTGAGGAGTGAGATCTGGAAGTCGAAGCCGAAGGCAGAGAAATAAAGGAGTGGATGCATAGGGAGAGTAAACGCTCAATCAGGGAAAAACCCATAATCTGAGGAGAAGGGGAACTTCAGGCGGTGCACAGGATCCGAATGATAAATCCGTGCAGACATGAGAATACTGAGAAGAGAATCGAGAGTTGAGAATCAGGTGGAAAATTGGCAGAGTAAAAGGCAAGGGTTGATGAGTTGACATGTTGGTAATCAAGTTAAGCGGTGCGAGAAGTGCAAGGCGAGATTTGATGAAGTTGATGCGACAGTAGTCAGAGCCAGACTGTGAAAAGGATGGAGCATGAGAGATTTGATGAGTTGACGTGATGATAATCAAGCCAAGGATCTGTGAGAAGTGCGAAAATGATGGAGAAAGAAATAGTAGAACAATGGAACATGAGGCTGATTAGTGTAGCGAGAATGAGAAAAGGGGGGAAAGAACTAAAGACGCATCAAACCCGCGAAAAACGGACAACCAAACTAGACAAGTGAATGAAGGAGACAGGAGAATTGATGACAGAACATGAGGAAAGGGAGTGATAGACGGAAAAATGAGGCTGAGCCAATGGATTGAGAACGACTAGGCCGATTGAACGTGTAGCCACCCGAGCGTAACGATAGGTTCCCAAGGAGGATGAAGACAAGAGGAATAGAGACATCGAACTATAAAACTGCAGCACCACCAGGGGTCGATGGCTCAACAAGCCTTCAGCGTCTAACACCTGAACATCTGAAAGAAACTTATCAATATGCAATTCCCAAACACTCAAGTCGTTTTCAAGACCATTCTGGTCATAACCGCCAGCCAGACTCCAGCTATCCCTAAGACCCTTTTCCTCGGAACGGGAAATCCCGAGGAAAGCGAAGTCGACAAAGAAAGTACTACATTTGGATCCGACTCACCTATGAATTCAGTTCAATGGGAAACGGATTCTGAATTAGATCCCCTTTTGGAGAAAGCCCAGCAAGGATTCCAGAAATGTGACGGAATCAGATCAGATATTTTAATGTGTGGGAAGGAAGTATTTGACCTGGCCTATGGATGCCCAAGTGATTCCAGCTCGGACCTACCCACAACTTCTTCTTCAAGTGATCAGCCCATGGGTAGTGCTGCTGCTAAATGGAATTACCGAAACCGGTCCGTTTCCGCTCCCATTCCGGACAAACCTGAATTCCCGCTTCCCAATTTAAAACCGGCATCACCCATACTCAATCATGACAATGCTGAACCTGTTTTTGAGTTCACCCCACGTACTCAAGTAGGAGTATCCCCCGCATTTTCAGCTTTACTTAAAGAAAAGATGCGGAGTGATTATAATCAGGGATATCCGAAAGGGGTAAAATTTATTAACGTGGTATTAAACAACCATCTAACTCAGTTAGAATCCGACCTGGATAGAACTTGGAAGACAACCTGGGACTGTCTCAATCTAGTCCAAGATGAAATGGATCTCCGAGCGAATCCGCATTGATTAGGAAGTCTATTCAAACCATATAAAGTCATGCCGATGATCAAAGATCTTGAAGAGGTAATGGAATTGATCTTTGGAAGGATTCTCTTGGAAGCCGCAATTTGCTCTGAGTATCATGTGGTAAAGTCAATGGAGTTCCATTTATGGAATTCTTGGCGAATACTCCGGGAACATTTGTACCATGCAACGATGCATCTGACTATTCCACGGAAAAATAACCCACTGGCATTCTATCGCGAATTTCAAGATCAAATCTATGGAAGAGTCCAGCAACTCAACTTGGATACATTGGAGGAACTGCAAGTGGCGATGGAAACTTATCGGTTGGATAATAGGGTATTATATGCAGAAGAAATATGGCCTGTAGAGCGAAAAGAGGATTGGTGGAGGGAGGAGTATAATACCAAGGAATAGTGTCGACCTGAAACTACTCCTGGTATTCCCAATCACAAGTATCAAAGGTTGAAAACCTGTATAGCCGCAAATCTATGTTCCCTTATGCAATCTTTTTTTTATGACTTTCTTTTATCTGATGAAAACATAGAAAATTCAAGGAACGAATGGTTAGTGTACCGGAGAAGTTCAACCTTGAATAAAATTAAACCTCGAAAACAGAAACAAAAACATTGCAGAATGAATGACCATAAATGCGCGCGTGTTCCTCTGCAATCCAATATGCTATTCCTTATTTTTATCCTTATGCAACTATGGACTGATTGACAATCAGGGACTATAAAGCGGCAACACATGGTTAAGCGACATATGTGTACTTCTTGTGTTAGGAAAACTATGGAACCTACCTCTCCATATACCACTGATCCAAAGGACAGCCCAAATTTCTCTAGCAACTTATTTCCACCCCGATAACTGATTCAAACTACTCCATTGACACCGAAGACTCAGAAACAAGAGAATTGGCATGAACGACAGGGAAAAATCGAGGGTCAATTGACTAACAGGAAGAATGGTTGAGAATTAGTGTGAAATTGCAAGGGACTGCAATTATCCCGCTGTGCCTGTTTGTAGGAGAAATAATATTCAAAGAATAAAACAATGATCTATCAGAATAGTCAACGAACAGGTGACAAGTTCAGACGTTTAACAGATCTCATGATCTTTATGAGACTGGACAGACATTAGATCATTATAAATTATCTACACCCATGTAGTATGAGATTTAATCTACTACAATCATGCCTAGAACTTGGCATAGGTGTAATATTCAAAGAATATATCCCTACAACAAGAAAATAGCACATAGACGGCAGAATAAGAAGGAACATTGGGAAAGAAATGTGAATATCTCGAGAACCAGTAAACTTTTGACTGTAATCTTTTTACCATCTGAAAGGACTGTTTTTTAACTTTATCCACGGTTTTGTTTCATTCTAAAAGCTTCAAAACTGACGGAGATATCGCTCAAACGGCGAAACACCTTATAATTCATATATATTTATTTGCTAATTCTTACAAAAAGTAATGTGAGTCAAGGGAAATATATTGGCGCCCGGAAGTCTGGCGGACCGAGTACCATATGATAGAGTATTCCCCGGCGCGGGCGGACAGTTTTTGATCGCATCAGAAGAGGAGAAAATGCTAAAAAACCGGATCTTGTATATTTTCCCATGATTCATCAAAACCTTTTGATTTTAAGCTCAAATAAATCGGAACAAAGGAATGATTGATGATCTGGATCTCGGATCATAAGCATAAAGTGATTCAGAAGTCCGCGGATCAGTTAATTAATTGGGAAGGCTCTAGAACATTAGTAATGATGCGGCTTCACAAAAAGGGGTCAATTAGAGAACAGTCTAGAAAGTTCCTTTATAGCCGAGTCATTTCTAAAGATAACCGTTCGTAATTAAGGCGGTGTAGAGCATAGCTTCAGCGCTACAAGATCCCGCTAAGATCGGCCCAAAAGACAAAGAAATGAATTACTTATTGCTGAGTCATGTCCTAAGTCCATTATTAAGCTTACACAGCCCAAGCCCCTATATCATTCTAGAACTATCTATAATACAAATGTAGCACATGTAACTAGTGCGAGGCGTGGGAGTAGAGAGGCCTCTGAAAAGCATAAAAGGCCGCCGCTTCTGCCCCCTCTCAAACCTCAGGTAGAAATAAAAGTTTAATTCTCCTCACCAGTGGTTGGTTCATTTGCTCCAAAAGATAAAAGCAAATATTAGTTGTTAGCTAATATAAAACTAACACGTCACTCTAAGCGTGAGTTAGGGTCAGTTAGACACAGCTGAACAAAAGTGTCATAGTGAGAATTAGTGAGAATTTGGTGGAGGGACTTCTTAATTGAATAATCTCTCAGCAATTTTTGTTATAAAAATGGGGCCTAATTGGCCCATTTCTATAGCGTTCGGGTGCAGGAGGGGGCCGTGACATTGAGAAGATGTTACAATTAATGTAACAGGTGTTGTAACAAAGGTGTTTACAGTAACATTGACATCGGGTTTTTGGGTGGTTATAGTTGGTTAGGTTGTTACTATTTACATGTCACGTGATATTGTACTGCATAGAGCCCATAAGAGGCTAAAAATGGGAAAATCCCATTTCCATAACAATTTTTGGTTATCACACCACAGGAGAAAAGTGAGCGATCCTGAACCTGCTAGATAACTAGCACGCACTCTAAGCGATAGAAAGAGCAGTTTGGTCACTCCTGTATTGAGTAACATTTATTGCGGAATTATTTTATTAGCAGTTTTCCTTCAGTAAATTATCAGGAAAATCACGTCCTACTGAAAAGTGGTAAATGTCAAAAACCCGACGGTTATGGAAGAAGGGGTGAATGCGTGAGTCCGAATGCAGGCGGGGGCTCAACTAGAGGGGAATCCGAGGGCTCCGGTGATGAACCGAAGCTTCTCAGGGAGCCCGGTTCTGCTGGATGGTACAAGAGGCTCTAAGAAGGACGCGGCCTCAGCGACTCGGAGGGAGCGCTGTGCCTCCATTACGTCTCTGTTAGTCCTTGTATTTCTTATGTCTGAGGTGTCTTGTAGAACAGAGACAGGAATCACTCAGAGGGACTTTGGGTGGCATTTTAGTCGAGATTAGAACTGAGGAACTACAGGTTCTAATCTACGTGTATTTATAAAAGTGGATGGGGAGGACTTTAGTCAAAGCCCGAAATGGCAAAACGGGGAAAACACCGAAAGGTACCGAATGATACCGAGAGGTACCGAAAGGTTCCGAATGATATCTAAAACGGGGAACCGAGGTGTCGGGCCAAGGAGGGCGGAGTTGGAGGCCGGAAAATGAATGGGGAAGACAAATGGGGAAGGGGGGTTAGCCGACTGAATGGTAGTAAGAAGGTAGTCGTGCTAAGAATGGAAGATGACTAATAAGTGGTAGCGTGAAGGAGATCACCGAAGGATACGGTTAGCTCCGAAAGCGGAGTTGCATGTCCGAAGGATGTTGGGTGACTCCAATAAATGAAGTGGGCGAGGGAATGGTTTAAGGGCATGTCACGGGATGTCGGAGGTCCGTCAGGATATCGGAGCAAATCCGGGGTCTCCGAATGTTCCGACTCGGGACCGAGGTTCCGGGATGGGTGTAGCCAAGGTTCGGTGTGCCGCAACCAGACCGGAGCTGAGACAGCCAGGAGGGAAGGTGATTTGGAGAGTGGGGAGGCATGGTGTAGGGGATGGTGAAGTTGTTAGGAAGGTGTGATGTGGTGGGAGTGTGCGGGGTCGGGATTCCGGGATATGACAGAGAGTATACTCCGTGCTGAACCATCCAGGTATGGGATTGCCATTCTGGGAAATGCTCCGGGGGTGAAGAAGGAAGGTAGAGCATTACTATCGGGTGGAAAAATGGCTGGGTTGTGTGTGTAGGTATGGAGATCTGGAGAGGGGGTGAAATTGGCGGCATGGTTGGGCATGGGAATTTTGCTTGGGGTTGTTGGGAATGATGGGGAAAATAAGGAAAAATAAGGAATGAGTGTAAGGAGTGTTGGATAGTGATAGAATGAGTATCGTGAGCATCAGCGGATATGTACTGCGTGTTGGTGACCAAATTCCGCAGAATCCGACTTTTTGCGGTACATGGAGTTGTCCCCACAACATATAGGCCTTGCTCTTGATCGTGGTCCCTCACGATATCCTCAACATCCTTAATGTATAAATAAAACGAGTGTGATTGTAATACGAAACGGCAGGCACGTTGCATTGGCAAGTGGATAAATACATGGGCCTGGGCGGTTGTCTTATCATGAGGAGGGGACAGCAGAATTGATGTCATTCCCAATGAGAACTCCTACGTGACACTGAGGTCTTCCTTGAGGTAGGATCCTCTTCAGTATGGGCCCGTGCTTTCCCTTTAACATCTCGCTCCGCCTTAGGGTGTTCATCCATGGGGCTGGGAGACTTAGGTACTGGCTCGACGTCAGCGGGTGCATCCTTAGGGTCTCTGGGGATCACAGCGGGTGGTTGGAATTCGGGCGTAGCGCCAACAAACTTCTTGACGGAGTCTTTGTCTATGTCCCTAACCCGACGGGTCCACTCATTGGTCTTGATGATAAAATCCCTTGCAAGTGGAATCTTTGGCGCTGGTACTATGGCTACAGGCATCTCACTTGATCTAGTGAGACTATCAGCGGGTGGTGCAACCTTCTGGACAGGTGGCGCCACGGGAGTTGAACCTAGGAATGGCAACGCCGTTCTTCTAGGTGCTGTCTTGTTGTCTACTGGCGCCATGGACTGGTCTAACTTGGCTTGGAGCTCACATATAGCGTGCTCACTATCTGTCTCTTGCTGCCAGATGGGGGATCGTCGGAAGGCGCGTCTGCCTTCTTGAAGTCTTTCGTGGCTGGGTTCTGGTGGGCGGCGTCAATAGCATCCTCGACTCCTACAGCGACGTGTGTGTGGCGCATTAGGGTTGCCGTAGCCCATGGAGCACTCAAAGGGAAACAGGGGGTAGTGGTCGAGCTCGCGTTGCATAGTTCTTAAGGGAGTTTCGTCATTAGTCGAGCCGCTGGCCTCAGTGGTGGGAGT